ACCAGACTCCAGGGTTTTCCATAATTTTGTTAGTAGTAGGCTGTGTAGTGAAAGTAGGAGGCTGGCCTGTCGTGTGTGTACGGAACATAATTACGGAACTGGATTGGTGTAGGCGGCCAAATGATCAAAGTAGCCGGTCAAATTGGCCGGCGACAGGCTCTTACGGAAGGAAAACCCTGAGACTCCATTAATATAGTTTTGTCTGTTGCCCAAATCATATCAAATATTTTCTATTGAAGCAATCTTTGTGAAATAAATATGGTCTTTCAGTTTTACTTTAAAACTATATCTATATTTCATTAACAAGAACTGTATATGATATGTACATGTATAGTCATGTATACCCAGATATATCCAAATGACTCTAACTTCTTCATGAGCTACTTGCTTCTTATTTATTAGAGAAAGAAAAAAATAAACTAAAAGAACCAAAGACTTATTTACAATGATAGTCTTGAAAAAGGTCCAGAAGAACATGGAATACAGGAAGTAGTTTCAAAATTAGAGAGCATTGATCATATGATTTATTGTGTAATAATCACAAAACACAAATACCATGGTAAATGTTGCATTGCAGAGACAATCTAAAGTTGTGGACTTGTACACCATTTCTTAAGCATTGTGCTAGAACTAAGGAATCACAATACTAGTGAATATTATATCATTCTAAACAGACCGGATCCTATCCTCTCCATTATGCTGCCACTGAAGGGTATGATGATGTCATTGAGTTATTGCTGGAGAAAGGTGCAAACGTAAAGGCCTGGAACAATGTAAGTTGAACATATCTGTTGAAAAATAATTTTTATATTGCCTTCAGATTTTGCGGACACTTTGGGATCACCTTGTACGTCGTCGCGCGGCGACGGCGTCCGTACGAAAGTTTTCCTGACTTTTTTCAGTTATGCTTTGAGTTATCAAAATGAAATTTTGGTATATGGCTTCTTGTTAGAAGGATACAGATTAGTTTTGACATCCAGTTTGATTTATGGGTGACCCTGACATTATATGCAGGCGACACATACAGTTCCGAGGAACTCTTGTTTTCATCTATAACCACTTCAGTAAATTAGACTATATTTTATCTAAAATATATGAGAGATACATTAAACACATCTGGTTTGTAACAATGCAATAAGTCAGGGTTTTTTTTTTTTATAACTTTTTGTCTGTGGGATTTATTAAACAAGTGCATGCAATGAAACAAAGAAAGGAAATGGGATTAAGAACAAAGAACAATGAGCTAAAGCTTCTCCGTACCATATCACTAAGAATTTTCATCATAAAGATAGTAAGATTGTTTTGTTTTTATATCAACTATTAAGTACAGTAACTTTCCATGACAAATTGTGAAGAGAAAAGGCTTAATCTGCAGAGAGCTTACATATCATATATCAAGGTAAACATTTCAAATATTTAAAAATATATCTAAGCACTGTAAATTATGTGATCATGGTGTTTGTTTTGTTTTTAATTCTAGAGATATTGAAAGGATTTTGTTTTCTGTTGTTGTAGAATGGACGGACAGCCCTTCATCAGGCTGCTATGCATGGTCAAGCACGATCTGTTGTGATATTAGTAGCAGGTGGAGCCCTTGTACGTACGCTTGATCAGGCAAGTGCTGACATAATTATAGGTATCATATTTACCGCTTCAGATGTAAAAGGTAAGGAATCAAGTGTTATCTCGTGGCAATGTCTTGATGATCAGTGATGGATGAAAATTTAAGACTCCCACTTAACCTTTAGTTGTTTCAGTTTATTATGTTGTCCCTTTCTTTACTCAGTGAAACAATATAAACTTACATCAGACATTTCATATATTTGATATCCATTACTCACTTTACTTCCTTTCTTTTCAAAGAGTGATTTAAATACTAAATAATTATCCAAAGAATTGGACAGTAGCCATGGCTGAAAAGCAGATGTATTTTTCTTCCGAGATATGTAGACAAAATGTAACATATATATACACATTAAACATACCATGTCATTAGTGCAATAGGGTCAATATGGTATATAACAAAGTTAATGGAAGGGAGACAACTCTATTTTGAACTCTGCATTGGTGAGAAAGTTAGAAATGTTTGATAGATGAAAGATTTTTTGAAGTGTGATAGGAAAAAGGAATATATGTTATAATTTTTTCCTTCCATACAGAAGGTATTGCCTTAATGACCCAATATGATAAAAAATAAAATAAATAAAAAAAATTAAATACATGTCCTCTGAACTCCGTGTATTTGAACTTGTGATTTATGAGACAAATTATGATTATTGTTGAATGAGAAGGATATCCTTGTCTAAAGGCTGCTTTCCATTTACACGAAAAAACTAATAATTGATAAAAACTGATTACATTGATAGTCGCCTCATATAAAACATCAAGAAAATACCAATATGAAACATATTCATAATCAAAACTCAAATTAAGTAAAACTAGGGCAAAATATGAATAAAAAAAAAAGATTTAGATGGAGACTCCTGAAAAAGTACAAAGAGAATAAAACCAGGTGTTCTGGAAACCCTGTGTTATGAGTTTGTTCATCAATTGACAATTTCTTGCATGATAATTATGATAATGGGAACAGGCCACTGAATATCGAATCAACTGCAACATGTAAACACCATAGGCTGGGGATGCAGGTATATTGCTATCCAGATATGGAAACCAGGGAAATTGAAATCATCATGCTTATCATACACATTGGTGGAAAGATGTTCATCATGTTTATGTTGTAGGAAAAGATCAAGATAAGCGTCTGTTTTCGCTGGTCTGTGGCCATGTTCCCAGGTTCATTATACAGACATCTTGTGAATCAAAGACACCTGGAAAATAGTTGCTGATCTCTTAATTAGGGTTCTAAATGTTCTAGTCCAATTTCCTGACCGATGGTCAGTAGTGACATCTTTAGTGAAACTATCATCACCAAAAGCTTTGAAATAAAAATCTGAAATTGATTTGCAATTGTTTAGAGCTGCAACGAATCATATCCAAAGAAAAATAAAAGTGTAAAATGCAAATTGATTAATGAGGCGAAATTATACTGCCTTCCTTTCTCAAAGTCATATAATCCCTGTTGTAAGAATGTGAATGATGGTTAAGTGATAAATGGCAGTGGTATTGCAAACTGTTCCAATTTATTTCAGTGTTGGATACATTATAAATATAATGGGATGATGAGTTAGAATCGGCAAAAATTTGTACAATTGCTATACACTGCTTCTCTCTTTGAGTTCAGTTTTAAACCTAGATATATTTGATTTCTGTTGAATAAGGCTTGGAAAACAATAGGATTTTTGCTTTATCATACATTTGTCTGTTTTCCCAGAAATTGTCTTCTTTGATAGAGTTAGGTCCATAAGTTAAGTTTTAATGTCAAACTGAATAGAAACATCTGAACCAATTACCGCAGACATGCAGTCAACAGGTTGTCTATCACTATGGTGATTTGAAACAACATAATTTTTGTCTCCATTCCTATAACATTACAGAAAGGCTGCCTCCCACTGGAGTATGCTGTCCAGAATAAACATGTAGATGTGGTGGAACTATTGTGCCTGTTTGGATCGGAACCGTTACTCCTAGACTGGGTAAGTTGATTCACTACTTTAATGCTTAGTTCACTTCACGATCCCGATATGATTTATAATTTTACGATGTGTTAACATTTGGATTTATTTTTACAGTCTTGGATGACTCAGCCTGATATCAAGAAGAAAAAAATTGAATATGCTATGGCTAAGATAATTCGTAACCAGGTTCGACTGAGTCCCGGTTATAGACACACGTAAGTACAACACATAATACCTTATCATGTGATAGACTTACATATAATGATGTGTGCAACATTATAGACACATATTACGTGACAGACACATGCTTGAAATGTACGATTAAGGTTGTGAGTGTAATCAAATCATGATGCAAACATTTACTATTCTAATGAGTAATGTATCCTACCCTATAAATGGTCTGATTATACCTAGGGGGATCATATTTGATGTAGCAAGAATTACTCAGGAGGAGGGACCATTAGTCCATCTAGAGAAAACAGGCATCCAGGTCAAAGTTGAGGCGGGCCAGGAACACTACTACCTGTATCTGTGTCAAACAGAGGAAGCATACAGAAGCCCACCTCCCCTTGAACCAAATGAGGAAGCATTTGGTCATCTACTGGAGTGTCAGACCTGGGGGTCTAAACTACAGTCCATCACCCTAACAGTTACTGTGGATCGGGTTCTACGACAGACAGAAGAGATTATTCTACAGACAGCGACGAGAAAAGGCAGTGTGGAACATGTAGAGAGACAGGAATTAGATAACGTCGGGGTAAGATTTGTTGTGGTATACATGTATCTATACAAGGCTGGATTGAAATTGTGACAGGGTAAAAGCTTGGTGGTGTATGTAGGGAGACCAGAGTTAGTTTTGATGTGCGAGTTCTTGTTGTATATTCTAGTGTGGCAGGAATTTTATTGTAGATTATGTCAGGTTTGTTTCTTGTACAAGTGGAAACTGTAATTGTAGTTGATATTGAGAATTTGGTATGTGAAAATGACATTTAGGAATTTACACTATAGCAAATGGCATGGAAACATGTGGTTTTGTTGGTGTATCAACTTTGCACACTGTTTCGTTACATCTACCTCCCCAGCACATCCAATATTCACCAACTATAGTATGGATTGATATGCCAAATAAAGAATTGTGTGATCTAGATTATTTCTCTTTACAAAGTCTTTGGACTCTTCTGTTATCTCTATTTCCTTCAACCATTGGAGGGGTCATACTTTCCAAGACTCATGAATATACTTAAACATCATGTCTTTTTTTGAAATGGTGCAATTTTGATCAGCTTTGATCAAGTCAAAGATAGTGTTTCCCCTGTCACTACCAATATTGTAAATAGTACCAAGTAAATGAAATCATAATGATGTTTTTCTTATAATTTCTAGATCACGATAGTAACGATTACTGTTCCACTTGAACGGGTCGGTATAACATATTTTGCCATGGCAAGCAGGGAGAAAAAGCAGGTTTTCCAGCTGTCCAAGGAAGCTGTTGTGCTGAAGCCAGAAAATGAACCAGAAGCGGAAATTGACATTCCCGCAGGAACGTTTGACTCGTGCGAACTCTTGGTGAAAGTATGTAAAAATGTGCCAGTGCATAAAATGTAATAATTGCAATTTCATCTCAGTTAAAGAATGATTGAGAGTGAGTTCAAATTTACCTATATTTTAAACTTTTTTAAGTTTGTTTTGTTGGCTAAAGTTTAATTAATATTCCTTTAGTTGATGTCAAGCACATGCACTTTTACTTAATTCATCAATTCGTTTCTTAGTTTGTAGATACAACGGAGATATCTGAAGAAGAAGCATTGGATGATGATGATAAAAGGAAGTCTGGAGATATCCTGATGACTAGCATCCTTGATGTCTCCACCAGTGACGGCCAACAACCTAACAATGATATCGAGATGAAGATTCCCGTTACTGCCAAAGAACAATCAGAAGGAGTTGTAGTGCTAACTACATCAAATCCTGACCCTAATCTCGAGGAATGGACTTGGGATGATCTTCCAGCAGAAATAGACAAAGATGGAAAGGCTGTGTTTAAAATCGACCACTTTTCTATGTGAGTAGATAGAAGTGACACATATTCATTTTATGCTTTAATCCCTGGACTTAACTCCGTGATAAAAAAGGTGTTGATGTTGTAGTGTTTGGATAAGGACATACCTGATTGTTTTAATTCGGTAACTTGGAGAACAAGAGCCCACATTTGTAATGTTTGATGTTTTTATACTGGGATATGTTTATGGTAATTCGTTATTTTTTATTACTTTGTTGTATGGAATATTATGTAATATTTTTATGCTTCCTGAAGGGAGAGCATATAGTCGCCACTTCGTCCATATGTCCATTCATCTGTCTGTCAGTATGTCATCAGGCACCAATTTTTCACTTCAAACAACTTATTCTCAGTAGCAGAAAGGCTCAGGGTACTGATATTGGGCCTGTAATATGCTAGGATTGAGGGCTGCCAAGTTTGTTTAAATGAATGAACTTGACACACTTTCAAGGTCACAGGGGTCAAATGTATGAAAATCTTCAAGCAACTTTTTCTCAGTAACTGAAAAGCCAAGGGTATTGATATTACGCCTGCAGCATGCTGGGATGAATTTAAGGGCTACAAGGTTGGTTCAAATGAATGGCCTTGACCTACTTTCAGGGTCACAGGGATCAAATATGTTCAAATCTGTAAACAGCTCCTTCTTAATAACCAAAAGGCCCAGGGTACTGATATTGGGCCTGTAGCATGCTGGGAGGAAGGGAATGTCCCATGGACAAGATAATATCAAAACCATGAGGATAGACTATAACATTGCAGAGCATCAGAGATATCAATCTCATTGTAACATCAGTGAATCTGAGTAAGGCTGTTCCTTGAATCAATAAAAAGACTCCATTTCTGCTCCTATAACACATTTCATTTATTATCTTCAGATATTCTGGAGCATCAAAACCCTTATTTGAGTCCGATCCGAAGGCTGTTCAAGATGAAATAAGAAATTCCTTTCTGAAGATGCGAAAAATTGAGTTCATAGTTGGAATGAAAACACCAGAACTGGATGAAACTAAAACAGATTTGGTCATAGCATGTGGAACAAAACGTAGCATCAAAATGTTTAAGACAACATTTGATAAAAGATACACATGGTTTAAACTAGACTCAAATACTACTCTGCCAATGGTTCCAGAGGGGCAGATATTTCAGGTAAGCAATGTGGTTCATTTTTGAAGCAGATACTGATACAACACAGGTTAATGGAATACCTTTGATGAATATATATAAAGACATGAAAACCCACAATCAGTCATATATGTCAATAATTCTATACTATTATTTTAGGAACATTTTTTTCCATCTGAAATACATTTCCAACATCAATATACCTTTGATTTAGCTTTATCACATAAAACATTTTCAAAACTTCCATACAATGAACATACCCTATTAGCACATTTACCAATACATGTGACTGCAATTAATGTGTCCAAGACTTGTTTGACACTGTTAAGGTATCAATGCAATTAAAACTGGTTTATTATTATGTTTAACATGTTTCGACGAACTAAAGCTGCAAGAATACTGACAGTGCAAGTACCACTGGTTGCACATTACTAAGATGCTGTTGCACGACTACTAAAAAACCACACTTTGTGCAGGCATCATCCGCAGATCGTCCACATTCACAAATATACAGAATCTATCATAAATCTTTGTGCTTGGATCGCACATTTCATGTGCTTTTAGTGAAACAGTTGACTGATATCATAGACTGAAAGTTCAAAGGAAAACAAATGTAGTTCAGACTCAGTAGTGACTATAGGTTTATCAAATATTGGTTGGTGGTAATACAGATGACACAAACGAATAGCGCCTTTTAATGCAAATTAAGGGTTGTATACAATAGAGCCAAACAATTAAGTACACTGCATCATACAGCTGTTTTGTCCTTCTAGGACTTGTCAGTGATGCTAAGGGCCTAAATTTTGAAGCCTAGGAGGAAAATAAAAAATGATCAAAGGAATTGTCAAATCAAGGAAGAACACCAGCCCCATAATTCAATAATTTTGTCATGTTCATATGTATGTGATAATTTACATGTGTATATTCTGAGCCGTGCCATTATTTGAAGTAATTAATAAGTAGTATGCAGGTGAAATCGGACCTTGCATTAATTAGTCTTTCTAATGTATATATTCACAACTCAGGCAGTGGTGAGTGGTGTGCCCTTGGCAACATAAATTACCTGTTTATGGATAAGAAGGCGACACATTCATTCTGTCAAGGCCTCCTATGTAACAGACATAACACTTAGGTCAACCATGATATAATCACACATCTGTGAAATAGAACTGCACCGATGTGAGATAGTAAATTTCATCCATTTTTTCCTCTCATCCACACAGTGCATTCATCATATTCATATCACATAGACATGGTGCATACATCACACATTGTTACACGATGTGAGATTCTACAACTGTATATTGACATTGTTCTTCAATCTAATATTGTACCATTTATTCGCAAACATAAAATTATCTATTAGGACAATATCTGATGCCATGTAGTGAGTTATGGAATGGACAATCTTTGTCAAAATAATGTTGACATATTTTACCTTAGACTACTTACAGCTTCGATCGCTGGCCACAAGAGAATGAGAGGGACATGTTTGATTGATGCATTCAAACCCTCACAAATTTATCAGACATTGTTACCTGCCTTGGGTCAGATAAATTTTAGGAAATTTTAGGAGTACATACCAGCCACATGAGATCCAGTTAGGTATGAGATTGTTCTTTACCAGAAGTTCCTGACCGGGAGATCCAGTCAGATACTTCTTTAATAGAAGTTCTTGACAGGGATCCATAAATAAGGAAAAGATACCTAGCCACATGATGTACAGCCTTGGACCAAATGCTTCTTTATCAGAGGTTCCTGACAGGGAGATCCAGTCTGGAATGATATAGTTGTTAACTAGATATTCCTGACAAGGATATGGTACATGTAGCGAGCAGATACCAGTCAACCAACATACAGATAAAGAGCAATCAAAGGCCATATATACAGTAATCTTCTGGTGGGAAATAATTCCAGGAGTCAGTGTACACTCATTTCACACAAATATTTGAACCGCAACATTATATGCTCAGGCAGGGCAGATCGTGTCAGGAAAATATTTCTTGGTTAATACAAATGATGCTGAATCTAAGTTAATTTCAATGCAATTTCACACAATTTCTTGCCATGTTTTTATTAAGAGCATCTTGTAAAGTATGTGGATATATAATTGCTGCATTACTCAACATACAGTTGTCAAAATGTTTCAGATTGTACTACATGGCAACTTAAAAGAAGGGTCTGACGACAACAACATGAAGTTAGTATTCAAGGGTAGTGGTCAAGAAAGTTCACGAGCCCTGGAAATTATCAGTACCTCCACCGATCCCCATGAAATGACAGGAGAGATAGAGATATTCCAGGAAACAAAGTGTCCGCGACCGGATACAAAAGTTGTTGTTAGCATCGGATGTAGCTGTTGGCAACGCATGGAAGAAAGGATAATTAAATCAACTGAATTTGACATAAAAACAAAACCTATGTGTAAAATACCGTTCAACGTAACACTGAGAAAACGAGGTGAGATAAAATTTATATACTGACCAGTATAAACAGGGTATAGAATATGAAGTTCCTCACATCTTACTAAACGAAGTGATGACAAAAATGTGTACTCTGTAGTCAAAGAGCAAATCATGAGAGAATCAAAACAAAATACTACAAGCAAATTGCCCAGGTGAAATAAAAACGTAATTTAGTACTCAAAACAAAATTGACTAAGCGAAATATGATTGATGCATCCACATTCCAGCTGTTACATTCATAACAAAACTGAAGTGCAGGTATGGTGATAAAGGGGAGATGAAGACAAAGGTATTAAGTAACCAGACTTTACAACATAAATACAAACTAACAAGCTCCATGGGTCATAACCAAATTACGTGTGAACACGTACTTCATGATATGCTTATGTTATTAGTGTGTTGTTATAAATAGAGATTTTGGTCATTTTATATCAGATATTGTTATGTTGATGTCTTTACAATTTTTTAAAATCTATACAAAATAACCTGTCGTGTGGACTGCTACCTTTAATGTTTCGTTTGTGTGATTATTTAATTCAGAAATTAGGTCTAGAGGGAAGGCTGAATCAAATAATTAGGTATCACCAGTGACTAATAGTGCCAAGCTTTGTTTGAGGATAAAAATTTCTACTTCACAGTTACATCATTGCGGGACAAAATCTGATGTTAATCGGATCAAACCAGGATTGCTCTTTCTCCCACTAGTTATCAAAGGCACTGTTATTGTGATATTTTTTGAACTTAAGTCGCTAAATACGCTACATAAATATCTCCTTTGTGGATGTTTTTTTTTATATTCCGATAAAGTCAAGGAATATCTATTTTTGCTATAAAAAGCTCCATGTAGGTCTTGCTGGCTCGTTTCCTCTTTAAATCCCATTTTTGAAGTAGTTATTCCAATTATGTTTTATTTGATATAATGTTGAAATCTGTAATACTTCGATTGAGTAATCTTATCAGGCATGGCAATACACCATGTTTAAGTCCACTCTTCTATACCATAAATTACTATTTCTTCTGCACATTCTCTTTGAAAACTATCTCATTGAAACATTAAAAATTGTATAAGCCCATGTGTGAAACTTAAAGGTCTGTAAATGCTTGACATCATTATTTTTGCTGTTTTATTATGGCTCTTAACGTGTTAATCAGTACCTTGGGTGTTTGGCTTTTGTTTTGAGATTTGGTTGACATTTTCGGAAATAGATATAACTTTGTTGTAAGAAACTATTGTAAATCTGTGAAGTGTGTCACAACTTTCTCTAACCCTAAATGATGTTTAAGATGTCCTCATTTATTTTCCCTTGGGTGCTGTAGCTAAAATGTTTGTGTGGTTTGTGATGTGCTCTGTAATACTAACACTTCACCTCTCTACTTATTTTGTCCACATTATGTTTGAAATATGATTTAAGTTTAGCCACAATATCATCCTTCAGACTAGGTAGTTGGATGGTATAGTTGACACATACTGTTTCAGTAAAAGACCTACTTGAATGCAGTCAGTTCCTAATAAATCAACGTTATGTTCTTTATGACAACCAATTGTCAGCTGGTTTACAATGTGATACTTGGATGTTGCTTCTCGTAAATGAATTTCTCTGTAAATTACAGAGCCAAGTGAAACAAAAAAGTCTTCAGGAAAGAATTCAAGCTTTGCTTAATGATTATTATTAAACATGAATAACTTCTCCAGCATCCATATATCATTTTACCATCCACTGTTTAAAGGATAATGTTAACAGTTTGTTCTTAGTACCGAGCTTGTGATTTTACATACTTGGGATTAGATAACAAACTATGTTAACATATCCAGATCAGTCATAAGATTCTAGAGATATTGAACAGTTTACAATGTATTTCAATAACACTTCTCAGTTTGATCTAATATGTATTTTTGGGTCATCTAACCTGAAGGGTCATGATGACTAATAGCCTTGTATAAACTTTCCATTCAAACGACCATCTTCTCAATAAGCAGAAGGCTCAGGCTACTGATATTATCACATCATTGGATAAAGGGCTTACTTTCAAGGTCACAGGGGTAAAATATTTTAAAATGTTTAAACAACTTCTTCTCAATAACCAAAAGGTCCAGAATAGTACATGTGGCCTTTAGCATGATGGGATGAAGGGCTACCTAGTTTGTTAACATGAATGACCTTGAAGTGCTTTCAAGGTCACATGGAAATATATATTAAAATGATGAAACAACTTCTCAATAACAAAAAGGCCCAGTGTGGTGATATTGGGTCTTTAGCATGATCGAATGAAGTGCTACCAAGTTTGTTAATATGAATGACCTTGACTCACTTTCAAAGTCACGGGGTAAAATTTGTTAAAATGATTTAAACGATTTCTTCTCAATAACTAAAAAGCTCAGGGTAGTGAATTACTGTCAAGGTCACAGGAATCAAATGTGTTGAAATACATAAGCAGTTTCTTCTCAATAACTAAAAGGCAAAGGGTCTTGATATTGGGCATGTAGCATTCTTTTTTCAACAAGCAATACATGTGGAGTAATGGCAATTGTGTAGTGCATGTATAAAGAATATGATTTCAAATTAGCATAAAGTGTTTTGATGAACCATCCAATGTCTTCTATGTAAGCTGTAGCATATTAGAGCAATTTATATTAGGGCCATTTGGCCTTTTTCCTTGTGTGAAAATGTAATATTGCTACCTGTTTAACAGTGTGGTACATACTTTTGTTACTTACAAAGGTAACACTACTCATACCTTCGTGACATGACCAACAACAGCAGAAGACCTCGAGCAAGAGTTTATTATATTTGCTGTACCATTTATCTTTTCAGTTCCTGAGGTTGAATCTGGAGAGCTTACTTCAGAAGGTAAATATTTTGTTCTGTTTACATATAACAAATTTCTACTCAACCAGATTGAAATGACAATATCTTCTTATTTAGAGCCTGCCTTGTCTTCCCACCTTGAAAAGTCTCTACATTTTTCATGTAACATCTATCACAAAGTAATTATGATATTCCTATTTGTGCAATGTTGAAACTCGGGGGATATGTAGAATTTGTTCTAGCTACCCCATCACTCATTGGATCATAGGGTAGATGTTACTCACCAACCTTATTTCAGATAACAGGCTGACAGATGTGAAGAGGACTAATGAAATACAGCAAAGCGTGCCTTAGATTAGTGATACAGGAGTGTAATTATCAAAATATAAACAGTTTTCCATTGCAAATTTTTCATCATTTACTTCAGGTTCCAACCTATATGTCTAAGTTGTATGTAGATTTCTTATTTTGATATTATTTTTTAGAGTCAAAATATACTTTATTCTATACATTGATTGTCTCGTCTTGAAGGTTAGGTCCAGGTATATTTTCTCAATGTACATGTAAAATATTGCATTTTAACCAAAAGTGCAATTATCTCCTTTCTACTTCTGGAAAAATATGTCATGCGGGTGTTCATTTTCTGCAGATGAAGGTTCTATTAGAGTCCAAAAATAATATTTCAAAAGTGTAAAGTAGGACAAGACCTGAACACTCAGTGCCAGCAGTTTTAACTGGAAATGTTAAAAACAATGTATACATCAATGAATATTTGGGGAGTAGCTTGTCCTCTGTAGCATCCTTCAAAAGCAGAATACAGTGGAACATTATTGTATAACACTTTTACTGAATTTGACCTTCCTTGTTATATGTATTTGAGAAATGATTAAGATGATATTTTACTAATTAAAAAAAAGTTGCATAACTTAATATTCTTTCTCGGAAAAAATCAGGCTCATTTTCCTCAAAGATTCTGCCTTGTTCTATATATGTGAATTATGGTTGCACTCTGTGTTGTTTGATATTTGTTTTGAGTGATCTGCAGTGTCTCCCTCAGGTGTTAGCCAATGTTTAATATACAGACATGTAGTAGTATAGACATGTTTGGTGCAGTAGTAAAAGCATTTTGTGATGCTGTATGAATCTTAGTGTGGTATACGGTTCGTAGTCTAAACAAGATTACTTTGTTAAAATTTGTCAGCCAAAGTTTTTGTTTGTTAACATCAGAAATGCTTTAAACGTTAATGTTTTATTGCTTTTGCATCAGAAGTCGCCCGTCCACCACCAGATGTAACGTGGGAGAAACTGAATGAAGCAGTGAGAGACCTCTCCCACAGTGAGGCAAAACAACTCGGCTACCAGCTAGGACTCAAACCAAGTCATATGAAAAAAATTGAGGACGACACAACCAGAGAAGTGGAATTTTCTTTGAATGTAATAAAGAGATGGCGCCTATTTATGGCCAAGAACGATATGGTAAGCCAGTTACAAGGTGCGCTGGAGGCCATCGGACGCAGCGACATGATTCAGGTGATCAAAAAGAAACAAAGTATCTCAAATTGAAAGTATATATCAAGCAGAACCTCTTCAGGAAAGACATGTCACAGAGAACTTGTGTTGAACCTTGACATCTGTAATAGGGGAAACAGCATACTTCTTTGTGACATTATGTGGGTACAAATAAAACAAAAACTCATATCAAACTTTTGATTCCAATAGCCTGTTTAAATCATAGTACAGCGACAGTGTTTAATGTCAAAATGACATGACAGATCCTTGTAGTAACATACTGTAATATAATGCTTGTACTTAGTCCCATGTCATGAATTATTGTAGGAAATAACAGGCACGTTATGTTACAATGTTATGCATTGTAAAGAGTGATGTAAAGAATGATGACTCCAGTGTGCCATTTACAACACAAGTATGTACACTGAGAGAGGCTCTGTGTTGTTTGTAAAAATTACTTGTGTATTTTATTGTGATAACCTCTGTAGATTTATAAAGGCTTTGACCCTTATAGTCTGGTGTCATATCATATTTATATCTGTCATCATAAAAGTATCCCCTCTATAGTATTTGTATCCCCACTCAACATATTTTTTTATTAACATCGGACATGGTTAATTTGAGAAAGACAACCACATAAGTAACTATGCAGGTGTCATGGTGACTTAATTAATTAGTTAATGACACCTGGCCATGGTCAAGCGGTACATCATTATATAACAGGAGAGCAGGGATCACACCTGCCAGAGAGGAGACCTGCTGGGTACAGGTAAATTTACCTGTGTTTCAGTCTATCAAACTGTACATAAAGACACTGATGAACCAAACTTCTCTATAAAGATTTGTTTTCTTCTCATTTTGTAATTATACGTCAGCTTCATTATCTGAAATTGTATAATGTATGGATGTGTACAAAATTTGTATATCAAATATATAAGCCAAATTTTGATGACTTCCAGTTCTAAAATTTATTTCACACAGATATTTAAAATCAAATCTTATTTTTGATAAAGGCGCGTAATATATTTGTATGGCATTTGCCTTTTATAATCATGATAAAATTATACTTATAGTAATCCTTCATTTCTTACATTACTGTATATGTATTTGTTCTGGATCCATATAGGAACAAATTAAGTTTTTTATATAAGAATACTTGTAAACACTTTAAACATACATGAATATGATTGCCATCAGAAAAGTATCTAGGGGGAGGTTTATATTTATCAATATATAGCAATGACAGGCATCAATAGATAAACACAATCATGATGTTAGAATTGGCACTTGGGCCTGTCCCTATCCCCGGGGGCTTAGATTCCTTGTTATATCTTTGAAGCAGTTGAGATCCCCACCCCATAACAAGACATAGCAATGACGGGCATGAAGAGATAAACACATCTACAATGTAAGAACTTGCCCATGGATGTGGCCCCACCCCTCTGGACTAAATTTCTGGATGTCTTTGAAACAGTTGAAACAAATGATTGACCAACAACCGAAGTATAAACAGCAAATGTGTAATACAGATAAAGTTATAGTATTGATTTCAAAGTAGGATATAAATACTATATAAATACTGATGGGCAAAAAAGTATCCATGGATACTTTTATTGTTGGGAGAGGGGGAAGTATACGGGTACTTTTATGATAGGGGATACAAATATGATATGACACTGGATGTTCTTGTGTTATACAATAGTAACTTATACCGAGATGTTTATCTGTGATATTTTCCATTGTTGTCAAAAAATAGATTGTTTTACTTTGTACTGTAACATGTGATGAAATCTTAACATAATGTTAGAAATTGTGTATTGTTTCAAGTCAATATTGATCAACACACAAGATTCTTTTATTGGGTAATTAGGGAATGAGAAATATTAAATTTTCCTACCTGCATGTGTGTATGGTACATCCATGTTGCATGATGTCAGGCTACAAGGTAAATATAGATGTAACCTATGTGTTTTTATTAAACATTGATGTGTAAATATAAGTTATAAAGAAGCATTTTCTGAGTGTAATTTTAATGTTAAAGTTTCAGGAATGATTGTTAGCATTTTACAATTATGTCAGCTGTGATGATATTTTGAAAATGTTATTATGTACAGTACCAACAATGTTTTAGGCAATATCAAGTAGGCACCCAGGAGTGAGAGAATCGTGTTGTTGCCATAAAGTGGGAACTGCTCTCAGCATTACAGTGGCACCACTGAGAACAAATGTATCTGTGAAAAAATGTACTTAATGACATGCCAATTTTTTAATACTCATATGAAAGTAATTTTGTGGGTGCTGTTAACCAGTATCGTCTAATGGATGGCAACACAATTGCAAAAATATATACATGTAAAAGGGTAGATTTTACCATAGACATTTGCTGTCCATCTTTAAGTACAATTTTTTTTTTTGTAATTTACTGATCTTTAACATACACGTAGTTAATATCAATCACTTATTAATGTAATTTGGTGTTTTTAATGATTTTTCTGTTTAATTCCATCTGAAGGTATTTCTATTTAGAAAATGTATAATGTAGAAAATGAGAGACGATGTTTATGTTGTTACCTCCCTTGTTATATATTTTTATAGAAGAACTTTTTATATCATATTAATATAATGTGGAATGAAGGACACCAGACCATGTTTAGACTCCAAGGTGTGTGTTAGTATGAATTATATTGGTAAACACTATTTTCCTATTATATAATAGAAATAAGATTAGAATAATCATTATATAATTGTTAAAACACAAGACTTTCGTTTCAGTTTATAGGCAGTAAGTGGTCATTATTTCCAGGAAGAATATTGTTAGTTCTGATGCCTATTTATTTGTGCCTGGCTTAATCATGACAATGCTAAAGTAAAGCAGCCTCAATTAATGATTTTAGCTATTATTATTCAAATATCAAAACTAAATAGGCCTGCTAACTTTAGCACTCGCTTAATGATTGATTACTAAAATGTTTGACTGGATGTACTATGGTACTGCAATTGGATTCTGCTGGTTTTGTTTGTTTTTTGTTTTCTTACTATTAATCTCCTTTCTTAGTTTTCAACAAATTTCTTTCAAGCTTGGTAGATTTAATCACTATGACATGAACTTAAATTTTCTGAATGACAGTTTGATTCAATTGCATTTGGTAGAGTTACTTTCCCTTGTTTCACCTTGTTTCACCTTATGTCTACCATCTGTGATCCATTGTCCATACGTCCATAAACATATCTTGTTATCAATATTATCTGAGATGTGCAGGAATGATTTTTCTGTAAATACCTTGATTCCTAGTTGTTCCCTTTTGATTTGATTTGGTTTGACTGATCACAAAAGCAAAAATGGCTGATGGCCATCTTGGAACTTGATACTGAAACAATTTGTTGATTCCGTTGTCAAATTTCATGTTCATGATGAAGCTTAAAAATTTTCTCAAAGTTTTTCAACAAATGCGAAAGTATTCTATTCATTTGTTTTCCCGTTACAAATTAATGTGTTACTGAGACAGATTTATAGAAGTTACAAAACTTGATTCTGAATCTAATGTATTGTTATGTTATACCTGTTATGTGTATGTATGTAATTATGAATAAAGTTTATATTCAATCACTAAGATTACTGAAATTAAGATTCCGAATTTATTTTTATGTAAATGTAACGTTTTCATCAACGTCAACAATTCTTGCATCACGCTTGTTATCATCATGGCGGTTATGAAGAAGATTACAAAATAGATATTGATATCACCAATTTATTACAAAATTCCATTTATCTATTGTTAAGGTGTTTTAACTCTGAATGCAAATATGCTGTGTTTGTGATAGAATTTACTCCAATGTCTTTACAAATTGAGAATGCACAAAATTTCATTTCCCATGGAATTATTATATGTGGTATGTATGATTAAAGAAAATTCATTCCAAGCAAGAGGAGTGTCATGATGACAACGAAATTGAAAACATCAGGACACATTGTTCATGATGAACTCTATATCCTGTAGTTATTTTTTGTTTTTGATTTTTTACAAAGTTTAATGATATGAATGACCTTGATCCACTTTCACTTTCACAGGGGTCAAATGTGTAGAAATCCTTAACAAAATGGCCAAGGATGCTGATATTATGCATGTAGCCTGCTGGGATAGAGGGTTACCAAGTTTGTGAATATGAATAATTTTCACTCGCTTTCAAGGTCACAGGGGTCAAATGTATTGTAACATGTAAACGACTTGTTTTCAATAACCAATTGGCCCAGGGTACCGTTATTGGCCCTGTAACATGATGGATAACGGGCTATCAAGTGAAAATGAATGACCTTGATGTACTTTCAAGGTCGCTGGAGTCAAGTATGATAAATATGTGAACATCTTCTTTGTAACCAAAATGCCCAAGGTGCTGATAATGGGCCAGTAGCATACTGGGATGGATGGCTATCATATTGTTCAAATAAATTACCTTGATCCACTTTTAATGCTACAGAGGTCAAACAAACTAAAATCTACAAACAACGTTTTATCAATAACTAAGAGGTGCAGGGACTTAATATTGGCTCTGTGGCCTGCTGGAATGAAGGGCTACCAAGTTTGTTCAAATGAATGAGATTGGCCTTCCGTCAAGGTTACAGGGGTGGAATTTGCCGAGATCTTCTTTTCAATAACTGAAAGACCCAAAGACCTGATATTGGATCTGTAGCATATTTGGATGAGGGCTACCACGTTTTATTCAAGGCCTTCATTCAATGTCATAGGTGTCAAATGTATGAAAATCATTAAAACTATTTCTCATTAACAATGAGGGATCTCCGGTGACCGTTAATGCCTATGGGCCTCTTGTCCCTTTCTTAATGTGAAAGGGGTCAGATGTGTTCAAATCTTCAAACGACTTCTTCTCAATAACAAAAAAATCATGGCTGTTGGTATTGGTTATTTAATATAAGTGTATGAAAGGCTACCGATTTGTTCAAATAATTGACCTTGACCTGTATTCAAGATATCTTAGATTAAGTGAGTTGAAATCTTGAAATTTCTTTTCAACAAGGTACTTCACTCTACTGTACT